CCAAAAAGCTAAACTCTGCATACCCTTTGACCCAGCAACAGCACTACTAGGTCTGTATCCCAAAGACATTTTTAAAAATGAAGTATAGATACAAAGATATTTATAGCATCTCTTTTTGTGGCAAAGAATTGGAAATTGAGGGGATGTCCATCAGTGATTGTGATGTAATACTATTGTGCTATAAGAAATGACAAGCAGGATGGTTTCAGAAAAACCTGGAAAAACTTAAATGAACTGATGCAAAGTGAAGTAAACAGAATCATGAGACCATTGCACACAGTAATAACAATACTGTACAATGATCAACTGTGAATGACTTAATTATTCTCAACAATACAATGATCTGAGAAAATTCCAAAAGACTCATGATGAAAACTGCTGTTCACCTCCAGAGAAAGAACTAATGGAGTCTGAATGTAGATGAAAGCATACTTTTTAAAATTTTCTTTTTTGTCTGTATTTTCTTTTACAACATAACTAATATGGAAATATGTTTTGCATGACTACATGTATATCAAATTGCTTGCCTTCTCAATGAGGGGGAGGGGAGGAGAGAGGGAAAGAATTTGGAACTCAAAATTTTTACATGTAATTGGAAAAATATATTTTTTTAAAGTTAAAAAAAGAAAGTTGTTTTTCTTTACAGTGTTCTTGTCCTTGTATAAATTGTTCCCCTGATTCTACTCACACGTCCAGACAAAAATGATTAAGATGATATTCTATGGTTTCATGTTTTGTGCCCATTTAAAATCAGATAATGAACATTTTAATGTTAATTTCTCTGAATTAATAAAATTTACCAAACAGTAATATTAGGTCTTGACTGATCTGGTTTAGGTATAACTTTTTAAAAAAGATGTTTATAGATGTAGCACTTTATTGGGGGAGGTGCCCACAATGCAGTATTGTACAGACCCATCACATGTAATTCTTGAAATGGGGCTAAAAGTAGGAGTGTGGGCTCCCATGTGCAGGGATTGTATCAGGATGTTTCCTTGTGTAGCACTTAGGAGAGTGCATTTCCTTTTGAGGGATATCTCCGAATCCTGCCAGTAACACAGATCTCTCTTTCCCTGACTTGGCCCTTTGTTGCCTCAAGAGCTAATCTTGCATATTTATGTCGCTGTTATTAATCTCTATCTGCTTAGAGGCTCTCCTGTTTATGGAACTTGTACTTACTTAGGGATAAGGTTTCAACGTGTTTCCATTGTGTTTGAAATCACTGTCTCCTCTTCCACATTTATGTCTTAGCTTTGCTGAAGCAGTCACTTTACAAAAATCTCAATCTTCCCTAAAATTTCAAAGCTAGTTTTAAATACACACACACACAGACACACACACACAGAGATTAGCAGCAACCACATGATTTTTTAATGTAAAAAAGGGAATAAAATGATAACATTAAAAAAACAAAGAAAAAATAGTCATGTAAGCAAAGAGATTTTATTTGTTAAGAAGATGGGAGAAGAATAAAATATATTTGCCAAGCATGGTCCTTTATAAATATTACTTCATTTGATTTTCACAACAATCCTAAGAAGTAAGTGTTACTATTTTCCTCATTTTACAGTTGAGGAAACTGAGGCAGACTTGCTCAGTGTCATATAGCTAATAAGTGTCTGAGGTCACATTTGAACTCAGGCCTTCCTGATTCTAGTTTTCTATCTGCTGAGCCACCTAGTTAGGGAAAAAAGACTTTTAAAAAAATATGTATTTATTAATTTTTAAAAAATTAATTTATTTTAAACTTAAATACACAATAAGAAAAGAAAAATAAACACATTATAAACTTAAGTACTAAAACTTAAATACAAAATAAGAAAAGAAAAGATAAGCATTGCCATACGCATAGCAGAATGTAAAAGAGGATTCAAAATATATAGCAATACATTTACATTTCAAGAAAGCCTATATAATAAACTGTGTTCTGAGCTGCCCATCTTTTCTTTGCTTCCTTGTAAGTTTTCTTTTGTTCTCTGCCATGCACAGGGAAAACAGACTCAATGCTCTGAGCACTGTTCCAATTCTACATGGTACAGTTAAATATTTCTACAGTTTTTAAAAGGGAATTGGTTAAACGATAGTAGAGCAATGTCAAGGATGTTTTAGCATTCTGTGGTTTCTATATTTTTATTCTGATTCTGTGATATCTACGTTACATTCTTAAACATTTTGACTCATGTCCTTGTGATTTTATAACATAAAACAGCGTTCTGGTCGGGCCAGCTATATATGCCTCTCAGGGTTTTGGAGGACCCTGAGGAGATTCAAGGTGTCCTTTCTCTAGTGTCAAAGGTCTTCACTGACAAGTATTCTACCATACTCCCCTACCTCTATCTAGGAAGCTAGGTGCTACAGTGGATAAATCAGTGGGCCTGGAATCAGGAAGACCTGATTTCAAATTCAACCTTAGACACTTAGTTTTTGTGTGACACTGGGAAAGTTACTTAACCTCTGTCTGCCTCAGTTTTCTTAACTGTAAAATGGGAATAATAGTAATAGCATCTACCTCTTAGGGATGTTTTGAGCACATCACAATGCCTGGCACACAGTAGGTACTTAATAAATACTTATTCCTTTTCCCTTCCTCATTAAATGCCAATGAGTGGTGCTCTAATTCCATTTAACAACTTAATATTAATTAACTTTTATAAAAGGATTTTTACTTTGAAGGTATAGCAAGAGCAAAATACAAATTTAATGGGGGTCTGGCACATGTGCAGAGAGCCTCAATGTGCTCAGCTAATACAACCTTCCCATGTGAAGAGCCTGAAGAGCTTGCTTCTGGGAGAGTCATGATAATGTGGATTGGAAATGACTTGGAGAGACTTGAATAGATATTCTGTAACTGGCTCCAGTCGTTCAGTCATCTTTTAGTCATGTCTGCCTCTTTGTGACCCCATTTGTGGTTTTCTTGGCAAAGATAGTGCAGTGGTTTGCAATTTCCTTCTCCAACTCGTTTTATAGATGAGGAAACTGAGGTCAACATGGTTAAGTGACTTGCCCAGGGTCACACAGCTAGAAGTGTCTGAGGCCAGATTTAAACTCAGGAGGATGTCTCCAGGTCCAGCACTCTATCCGCTGCACCTCCTACCTGCCCATACTCTTAAATGATGTTAAATAAAATAAGGATTAGAAAAAAAAAAGAATTGGAAGGGGAATTCATCATTTAGAACACAAAATGGTAAACGTTGCCCAAGAAACTGACTCTGTGAAAATTATCAGAGGTTCTATTAGCAAAGCAGCTTATGGGAAGTATAGTTTTTTTCTTGGTTGGGATTTGTTTTTACTGCTTTCTCACTGTGGGAAAAGGGAAGATAGGAGAGACAATTTGATACTGAAAATAAAATTGAAAAAAATTAATAAACCTTGCCCTAAGTTGAGGTTCTTAACATGGTGTCCATGGACTTCCAAGGAGTCTGTGGGTAGATTTTAGGGGTCGATGAATTTGATCTGAAAAAAAATCAACATTATTTTCACTAACCCTTAACTAACATTTAGCATTTACTTTAGTTATATGTAGGATTACTCTGAGAAAGTTTTCATTGGCTTCACCAAACTGCTAAAACATCTACGACACAGAAAAGGGTTAAAGACCTTACCCTAATTGTATTATCATGATTAGCAAAACATTTCAAATCTGAGGTTTTGTTGCAAATGGTAGTAGCACCACATCCTTAGGAGGAACTGATGAACTCTGAGAGTTCATCTGCTTGAGTGGATTGTATCCATAGCAGTATTATCAGGCAACGCATATGCCACATATATAATGCTTTTCTTGACAAATCTATTTAATTACCATTTGAATTCTGACTCTCATAAAAGCAAAATATTTTAAAAGCATAATTATTGGGAATGTCTTAACTAGGGAGCATGACACAGTGAATGGAGTACTTGGCTTGGTGCCAAAAAGACCTGGATGCATATTTTTCTCCTAACACTTATTAACTATTTAATCCCAGGCACTTTCTTAGTCTCTGGCATTTCTCTAAGATTTATCTATTAAGTTATAGATGGATTGTGATGGAATAATTGATTTTTGATATACAATATGGTAGTTATTAGAAAGATCTTATAATACCATCTTGCTTGGCATAATAAGTACTCAAATGCTTCTTGAATGAACTAAAGCAATGACATAGAAAATTTGCAGTTTCTGTAGGGAAGAGGGGAAGGGGTTATAGGGAGATTTACAGTTGTCTAGTTTGATTAGAGCATGGCTTGTATTTTTTTTTTTACATCCTGAAACACTTATTTTATAAATGTCAAGTGGTTTTTCACTTTCAAATTGTGAATCTATTCTTTTAAATAGCTGGTTAGATCACCAAGTTCAGGATGCATTTATCTACTGAGTTTTATTAAAAAAAAAAAATAAAATGTGCCCCTGCTGTGATCATGACCAATGCTCAGTGAAGACATTTTTATTTTTATTTTTATTTTGTTTTTTTTTTTTTTTTACCAGAGGTCATATTTTAAATTTTTAGCCAAGTTCAGGAATTTTGGACTGCACAGTGAAATGCTATGATACTTGCAACAAAGAAATGGAATTACTGTGATTAGAATATTTGCCAGAAGCAAAGAAGCAGGATCTTCCTTTCTCCTACTGCGCCAACTATGCAGAAGCCCCAGATATCTCTCTGTGAAAAACAAGGACAATAAGCAGAGGTGGGCTGGAGCTAATTTCTTCAAATGGTAAACTCAGTGTGAGCATTTACACCTCAGAAATCAACAAACACTATAAATCAGGGCTTGATTTGTTGTGTCTTTGACTGTCCAGGTTTAAGTTATGGAGAAAAGGTGTGTGTTCAACCCTCTTTTTCTTTTTTCTATAAGTATTTATTGGTATTTTCTATTTCTTATATCACCAAAATATTCCAAGTATCTCTTTCCCACTCCCTCTTAGCAAACCATCCCATTTGACAAAAAGCACTTTTTTAGAGAAGGAAAAAAAAGTTCAAAACAATTGATTAATACATTGAAAACATCCAAAAGCACGTGCAATGTGTAACACCTGTGGACCTCCCACCTCCATGAAAGGTAGGCTGGGGTTGGGCTGTCTTCTCATATCTCTTCATTGGAGGTCTATTTGATATTTATAATTTTGTTACATTTACTTTTGATTTTTTTTTGGTGTGTTGTTCTTTCCATTTACATTATTGTGGTTACTGTGTATGTTTTCTTAGCTCTGCTTACTTCATTCTCCATCAATTCATATAAATTTTCCACGTTTCTCTGTATTTATCACACACATAATTTCTTACTACATAGTAAAATTCTATTACATTCATGTACCAAAATTTATTGAGCCATTCCCCAATTGATGGGCATCTACTTTGTTTCCAATTCTTCGCTATCACAATATGTGTTGCTGTAAATAATTTGGCGTATATGGGAAATTTTTTTCCCTTATAAATGACTTCCTGGGGTATAAGACCAATAATGGTTCAAAGGCCTTGTATAGACATTTAAGGACTTTATTTGCATAATTCCAAATTGCTTTCCAAAATGACTGTACCATTTCACAGCTCTACCAACAATATGTCAGTGTGGCTATCTTTTCACAGCCCCTCCAACATTGACTGTTGCCATTTTTTCTTATTTTTGCAATTTGCTGGGTGTGAGCTAAAACCTTAGTCAACCCTCCTTTCCTATTTCAGATAAGAATGAGGTTCATCTGATGCCCACTTTCCCCATCCCTTCCTCCATGCTTCTCACATAACCCAATTATTAAAAATATCGAATTTCACTCTTTTATTCTTCCTTTTTATATTAGTATGCTCCTCCTTTTACTCTCCCTTCTCTTCATTGCTTACAACCCTCAAAACAGAAACAATCCATCCCACTCTCCAAGGTTCTCTGTTTTTCCAATTTAACTCACTCAATATCCTTTGATGAAATTAAGGTTCTGAAGGGATATTTGTTTCTTCTCCCTATTAGAATGTTAGAACTGCATTATCATACAGTGCCTCCCAGTTGCTGAAGTAAATTCTCCTTTCTAGGTGTCTCTTGATTCTTGTGTTTATATTTCAAAATTCTTACTTAGCCCTGGTCTTTTCATCAGACATGTGTAAAAGTCTATTCCATTAAAGATCCACTTTTTTTTTCCTCTGCAGGATTATACTCAGCTCTGTAGGGTAAATTATTCTTTGTAAGGTTATATTTTTCTTCATTGTAAGCGTATCTTTTTTGCCTTTTGAAATATTGCATTCTAAAATCGCCTCTGGTTTTAAGTAGAAACTGCCAGGTCTTGTGTGATTCTGGCTATGGCTCCTTGGTACCTCAATCATTTCTTGCTGCATTCTTACATTATTTTTTCTTGATGTGAAAACTCTGGATTTTGGCCATGGCATTCTTTGGACTTCTGACTTTTGGAATTTGTTTCAGGTTTGGTGGAATTTCTTTCTATCTTCATTCTGCCCTCTGGTTCTAGACAGTTTTCATTTGTGATTTTGTGAAATGTAGTGGTCCATTTTTTTTTTAAATTATGGTTTTCAGGAAATCCAATTATTCTTAAGTGATCTCTCTAACTTGTTTTTTGGCCAGTTGTTTTTGATATCAGGTACCTTGCGTTTTCTCCCAATTTTTCAATATTTTGAATTTATTCTAATATTTCTTGTTGTGTCATGAAGCTACTGATTTCTGTTTGATCTATTCTAGTTTCCAGGGATTCCCTTTCTTCCTGCTTAACTTCTAAAACTTCTTATTCTCCTTCCAATTCTTTCCTTCAGGGCTTTTATCTATGTATCTGTGTATCTATCTATCCTCTTTGCTTCATTTCTTCTACGTATTCAGGTAGTTCTTGTGGAAAATCCATTTCTTTTGCTTTGAATACCCTCTTATAGTTATGGAATTCTATTTGTAATACTTTTATGCTGAACGGTGTTTCTTTGATTTATTCATCTCTCTTGCTTTAGTTTCTGAATTGGGGTACCATGCTAAGGTCAAATTCTGATCCCTGCTTGGCTTTTGGGTGGGGTGGTTATCCTTGCTTGATCTGGGCCTGGGTTCCCTGGACCCTCTTGTGGACCTTTACCTCCAGGGGTTCATTTTTCCCTTGATCTTAGCTGTTCAGGGTGTTGGATCTTCAGGCCCTTCTCTGGCAGCTCAAGACAGAGTATTACAGACCTCAGAGACCTTGGTCCTCATTTATCTGAGCCTAGGCACCATGAGAAGTGTCGGTCACTGCTGCTGCAATTCCCTGGGACTTCAAAGGGTACTTTCTTGCCTTCGGACTTTCTTGCTTCCTGACACAGAACTGTACAGGTTACACATGTCCTTGGCTATCTCCAGTCATGACGGTGCTCACTTTGTTGGAGGAACCACTTTTTCCTATTGCTCCTGGCCTTCTGGCTGACATTAGGTGCATTTCTGGTGTGGAAGAAGTCACATAGTATAGTTTCTTATTGGATTTCCTGATCATTATTTGTATCTGATGTGAACTTTAGGGTTTTGCTGGAGTAAGTTTGTAGAAGTTGGATGGCCTGAGTCCCGATCTTGTCCAAACAATCTCATTTTGGCTGCAAGTTCTCCAATTCAGTCTTGAGGGTTTCCCAATCATATTCTTTAGCTTGTGCTTCTACCTAGGAACCACCTCCCTACCTTTTCCACCAATATCTGAATTTGACTGATTCTAGGAATATTTCCCTAGAGATATTTAGGAGCCTTTAAGGGTTTTTAAATATCTACAAAATTGTATTGTTTTGTTTTTTTTTTTTTGTTAAAGAGGCTAAGATAAAAGACTAATGAAGGCTAATAGATTTGCAGTGAAAGAACCTGGGTGTGAATACCATTTTTGCCACTTGCTCCCTATGTGACTTTGCATGAAGGATTCAGTCTCTTTGGGATTCAGTTTCTTCATCTTGTAAATTAACATGCACCAAAATTTTACTTCGGTAATTCTGTGATGCCTTTAAGATTATTAAAGATAGCCGTTTGTTGTTCAGTCGTTTCAGTTATGTTGACTCTTTGTGACCCTATTTGGAGTTTTCTTGGCAAAGATACTGGAGTGGCTTGCCATTTCCTTCTCCTGCTCTTTTTACAAATGAGGAAACTGAGGCAGACAGGGTTAAGTGACTTGCCCAGTGTCACACAGGAAGCGTCTGAGGCCAGATTTGAGCTCAGAAGGATGAATCTTCCTGACTCCAGGTCTGGTGTTCTATCCACTACACCACCTTGCTACCCAAAAGATAGCCTTAAATATCTGATAAAATGACATGGGAATCACTGGATTAAGTCATCCAAAATAAATGGGATTCAGTGACTCATTATTAAAAAAAAATTCAGTTAATCAACAGGTACATTAGTAAGATAATCAGACATTTGCCTCTGACTTATAAGACACTAATACTGTGCTAGTATAGACTCCTCTAAGGGGACTGGCATCTGAGAGTTTCCCAGTGACATTTGGGAGGATTGTCTAAACTTAAGCTCATTAATCTTAACCAGTATTCCAATATTGGCCTCAGGGATGGAAAAGGCAATACGATGGAATCTCAGTCTAACATTTTGTGCTACATGCAGCACACACGTTCCTGTAGCCAGAGTCTGTATTGGTCCCCTCATTTTCTTTCTTCCTGAACGCAGCCTCACCTCTGCAGATCCTTTCCTTAAAACTAGAGGAGCAGCACTGAGCTCTGATGGATGGGGGAAAATTGAGTTAAAGCCACCACAAGGTCATGTCTACACATCACAATATTATATCTATTGATGGGAACATCTCAGGAAACCTCTTAAGCATTGTGAAACTATAGAACAAGAGGGAGGGACTTTAGAGATCATCTAGTCTGAATCCCTTCTCCTCCTTTTATAGATGAGGAAACTAAGGTCCTGAGAAGTAATTTGACTTGTGCAATTGTACAATGGCATCGTACAAGGAAAAGAGTGCCTGATTAGGAGTCATAGGACCTTAATTCAAAGTTCAAATCTGCCCCATCTGACTCTGATTTCTTGGGTGATATGGAACAATGCATGTCACCCCCTCTGTGCCTATATCATATGGGATTGGATTAGATTACCTCTAGGGTCACTTAAATCTCTAAATATGGTGTCCTATACAAAGTGGCAGAGCTTGGATTAGAACTGGGTCTCCCGACTCTTGATCCTGCTCTAAGACTTGATATAGTTTCTCTACCTCTTTCTACAAAGGAGTTTTTAATAATAGCATAAGACAGAAGAATGAACTATGAGGACCACATCTTAATAATATTCTATCATATCATATCAAGAGAACAGATGAGTTGAAATGAAACATTTTATTTTTGAAATCAAGTTCCACTGCCCCTAAGATGGTTTTATTGTAATAATAGAACACTTGTTGGTATTGACAAAGACATATGACCAAAGGAAAAAACTAAGAATTGCACATGAATGCTTCATCCCTTTCCACAAGGAATTGGAATACAGATGAAATGGATGCCTGAAGGACTGGACAGAAATGCTCAGTGTATTACAATTTAAGGACTATCAGGGCTGAATTTATCTGGAAGGGGCAATCTTCCCTTCCTCTAATCTTAAAGGAGAAGGAAGAGCTGAAATCTCTTAAGAGGGATATTAGGAACTGTGAGAATATGTGACTGAATGATTAAGAGAGGCCTGTGGAGCACCATGATGGTAAGCTATTCAGAACCACTGTCATAACCTTCTGCTGCTGAACTGTGTAGAAGCCACATGGAATATGACAATGATGTTTCTGTTTGCTGAACAAAACTTGTGATTCTTCTACCTCCCTTGACCTTGCTATGGCTTTTGTGCTGTCCATATGTCTGATCTTTATTTCTTTAAGAGTGTTCATTTTGCGTAAATAACATGGAGTTTTAAAAGAAACCAACTTCTCTAAGATAACATTCATTGTGTTTGTGTGTCCTATGAGGAATTAAGTGCGTATGAGAGTAGCATTATGGTTGGCCAGATATACAGAGAAAAAGAGAGAAAAAGACTTGTATCTAATTAATTGTTGGGAGTGTAACTGGGGACTTGAGTTGATCAAAAGAAATTTTATTGAAACACACTATTTTAGCTCTCCAAAAGCAGAGGAGAGTCAGTAAATCTGAACTGTCCTAGGCGTAGGAAGAGCCAGCAGTTTTCTAGTGGAAGAAGGTTTGTTAAAGTGAGAGGAAGTCAGCCTCATCTGAGTCAGGGACCTCAAGCCATTTTCCTTCTCTCCTAGAGAAAGTTTAAAGAATCCTAACACTTTACTTCCAGAAGGAGAGGGAAAACATTAGCTAAAGGAAAATTTGTGCTCTTGGAGATATATGTAGGGAGGGACTGAGAAAGAGTGGTACCATTCACAGGAATGGTGTCCAGAGAGAGAAATGAGTTGTCATCAAACACTGAAATGTGTGTGTGTGTGTGTGTGTGTGTGTGTGTGTGTGTGTGTTTTGTGAGGGAGGGACAAACCTGTAATTTAGTATAGAGATCTCCTTATGAGGAATTTTCTCCACCAATGCAGACTGACACCTTCTCTGCCTCTTAGATTTTAGAGAGTTGCCTGGGACAAAGAGAGGTTAGGTTGCATTTCCAGAGCCACACAGTCAGTATGTGTCATTGTGAGGACTTGAATCCAGGACTTCCTGATTACCTGTCCACTATGCCATGCTGTGATAGACACAAACATAAATTCTGTGTGTATACATACATATTTATATTTTAGCATGAAGTTGTGCTAAATGCATCTGGGAAATGCACATACATTTGTATATACGACTTCAGGCCCAGGGAATAATAGGAAAGAGGCTCTACTTTGTGACTAATTAGAAATGGGAGCTGCAGAACACAACATAGGCAGGGACATTACAGGAAGGTTTGTAATTAAATATTAGATAATACAGAATTGTTTTTCTTTCTGTTTTCAGGTTACTTTGCAACTTCTATATCATTGCCACAAAACTCAAATCGAGAGCAGCAATACCAGCACAATTTTTAGCTGGTCATGCTCTAAGGATTGTATTTTGCATACTTTTCAGGATATCTAATGATCCCCAAAAGTCTGTGGTTAAGAACAAGTGACTTTAGAAATGTTTTGGATGGAAAATTCTACCCATCTGCTGATCTGAGAGATTTCAGAGATGTCCTGGGGGATACCGATCTGTTTTTAAAGCATATAAATTCTTTCTTTCATGTGCTTTTACTTTACCATAAAAGGTGAAGTTAATACTTTTAACCAAATTTCAACATGAGTAGCATCATAGACTTTTAGCTGGAAGGGACCTTAAAGATCATCTAGTCTCCCCCTCCTCCCCCTTTCCAGATGAGAAAATTGAGGCCCAGAAAGATTAAATAACTTTCTTGAGGTTACATAAGCAGTAAGTGGTCAAGCTAGGTTGGGAACCTGTGTCTTAGAATTCCAGAAACAGGCCATTTTCCACTTCACCACTGCATCCTAGCCAGCAGATTCCAACTCTCAGAATGCCCTCATTACTTAGATTTAATGTGAAATTCTTATGTTTCCCTCAAGGTCTAAACTGTCAAGTAAGACACATTTCTCTTTCCCTAAAGTTTTTTACTATGTTGTTAAAGTCTATCTAAAGAAAGAGAAGGATTTCTATGTGTTTTCTGGCCCTCGCCTAATTTGGTTAGGTTTTATCCTAATAATGAAGTCTGAAGTTCATTAAGGGAGCCATTTATGACATTTTGGAATCCATCCACTGCTTTGGAGTTTTATTTCCCCCCCCCCCCAGATTCTTTTAATTTGAGGGAACCAGTATAGCTCTTGGGATATCAATTTGCTATTTTTTTATTCTCACCACATGACTGGTCCAAACCCTTTTCCTGTACCATAGGTCCTCATCTTTCTTTTATGTACCTCCTCACAGACAAGCCTTCATTGGTAATATGCTATAGTAAGTTTATGCCCACTAGATCCATTGGGTTACTTGTGACTGATTCTTGTGTTATAAAAAAATTAATATATTATCATCATTTTAAAGACAGAAGCCCTAGAATCAGGACAGATGGCCTGTGCTTTGACACACATGGAAGACTTGGAAATGTGCCTAAAAGAAGCAGAAGAAAAGGCTAAGACATTAACAGAGCGGGTAACTATCTGTCACCTGAATTAGAAATGTGTATTATTATTAATAAATCAACAAGCATTTCTAAAATGCTTACTCTGAGTGAGGCATGATGCTAAGAACTAGTGCTGCAAAGACAAAAGTTAAAGTCCCTCCCTTCAAGGAGCTTACATTCTAATGAAGGAGACAACATTTACTCATATTAGTATATGTAAAATGAATACAAGTTTTGGGAGGGGGTGCCTTAGGATCTGGGAGTAGGTTGGGGAGGGGGGACCAGGAAAGGCCCGATGAAGAAGATAGCACTTAAGCTGAGTCTTGAAGGAAACCTGGGGTTTCAAGAAGTGGAGATAAGGGAGAGAGTACGTTTTAAGGCATGGGGAAACATCTGGTACAAAGGCCCAGGAACCAGAGTTGGAGCATTTAAGGTCAGTGTGGCTAGAATGCAGAGTGGGCAGAAGGGACTAAAATGTAGAAAGACTAGAAAGGTAGAAAAGGGACAGATGGTACAGAACTTTAAATGTCAAATGAAGGAGTCTAAATTTGATCCTGGAGTCAAGAGAATGCTGCTGGAATTTGTAGAGGAGTGGGGGGAACTGGGCTTTATGAAGATCACTTTGGCAGCTGAGAGGATGATGGATTGGATTTGAGGGAGAATCTTGATTTGGGGAGACCAGAAAGGAGACTATTGCAGTAGTCTAGGTGAGAGGTCAATGAGGAAATCAATGAGGAATTATTAAACACTTACTATGGTACTGTGCTAAATGCTGAGGGTACAAAGGAAAGCAAAAATAGCCTCTGCCCTCGAGGAGCTCATATTCAAATGGGGATAAAACATGTAAATAAGTAAGTACATACAAAATACATTCAGAGTAAATGGAAGGTAATCCAGATGGAAGAAAGAACAGCAAATATTGACCAGGGTAGCTGCATCGTTGAGTTTATGGAGGGAGTATAAAGTATAAGAAGACAGGCTCAGGTAGGAAGAGGCCAGGTTTTGAAGTGCTTTAAGTTACAAAGAGAACATTCCATTTTGGAGAAAATAAGGAGCTACGTGGTGATGTGATGAGACTGATACTTTAGAAAAATCACTTTGGCCAATGTGTGGAGGATGTTTTGGAGCAGGGAGGAGCTTGAGGCAGAAAGTGAAAAAAGAGGTTGTAATAGTTCAGGTGAGAGGTGATAAGGATCTGGACTATGATGATAGTGGTGTGAGTAGATAGAAGGAGATGTTTGTAAAAGATAGAAATGTGGAGAAACTATGATAAATATTGTGATAGGTATTTTGGAGATAGAAACTGGTTGGATATGTGGGGTGAGGGAGAGCAAGGAATTAAGTATGACATTGAGTTTGTCAGCCTGGATAGTTAGAAGGTTGTTTCCTCTACAATAATTCAGAAATTTGGAAGGGGAAGGTTTGGGGGAAAAGATGTGATAGTTTAGAAATGTTGAGTTTGAAGTGTCACTGGAATGTCCATTTTGAAATGTCAGCAGTTAGTAATGTAAGAATGGAGCTCAAGAGAGATGACTGTCTAATAGGACTAGGTATATAGATCTGGAAGTCACCTGCATAGCGATGATAATTGAACCCACGGGAATTTATGGGGCGACAGAGAGAGAGAGAGAGACAGAGAGAGACAGAGACAGAGAGAGACAGAGAGACAGAGAGAAAATACTAGCTTTTGGGTATATGTACAATTAGTGAAGATGACATGGCTGGTGAATCAATAACTTGAGCAGTGGTCAGGTAGGAGTAGAACCCACAGAGCATCATAATATGTAGTAGAGAGGTCAAGGAGGATGAGAGGTCATTTAATTTTATATGTTAGAATTAGGAGATCATTGGAAAGAGCAGTTTCAGTTGATTTAGAGGTTAAAAGTAAGAATGCAATGGGTCAAGTGAGAGAAAAAACTGAAGCACAAACTGCAGGCTGCTTTTTCAAGGAGTCTGGCTAACAAAGGGAGAAGAGATTAGGACTGTAGGTAGTGGTAGGAAGTGAGGATTTGAGAATGGGGAGAATTGAAGCTTGTTTGTAGAAAGAAAAGGAATCAGTTTACATAGTAGAAAGGGAGAAATTGGAGATTAGAGAGACTGGATGATATAAATTTAAGTATATCCTTTAACTTCTGTTAGTATTAGAACTTAGTATTATGTTAAATTCAGTGATATTTCTTCTCATGCCAATTGCTTCTTACCTTTGATTGACCCTTTATTGTGAAACAGATACCCTCCCCATATTTAATTTGTCTCAAATACTTAATGCATTTATTTTTTAAGCAAGTGGCTTAATAGATACATCAGACCTACATATATAGACATACACAAATAAATACATACATTCACATATAACGTAAGAGGCAGCACCAAGCATATTGTGGAGTCAGGAAGACCTGAGGTCAGGTCTTTTATACATACCAGTGAATCATTTAACCTCTTAGTGCAACAGATAGTTTTCTCTAAGCCTATAAGTTACAAATGAATTGCTGATCTACATTGGTGGAAGGGGGCAACTAGGTGGTGCAGTGGTTAGAGTGTCAGGCCTGGAGTTAGGAAGACTCAGATTCCTGAGTTTAAATCTGGCTTCAGACACTTACAAGCTGTGTGACCCTGGGCAAGTCACTTAACCCTGTTTGCCTCAGTTTCCGGAGAAGGAAATGCAAACTACTCCAGTATCTTTACCAAGAAAACCCAAATGGGGTCACAAAGAGTCAGAAATGACTGAAAAATGACTACTGGGAGTTCCTCACAGTTCTAAACCAAAATAATAATAATAACTGACTTTCACATAGTGGTGCTTTACCAACATTAGCTCCTTTGATCCTCACAGTGAACCAATGAGGTTCATTGGTAGAAAGAGTTTCTTTACTGGGACTTTTCTATACTAATGAAATTATAGTTTACACATAGACAAAACCCCTTATACATATACATATATGTACATGTGTTTTTACATATTTGTGTATTGTTTGTGTGTATGTATATCTATATATGTGCATGTATATATGTGTATATAAATACATGTACATGCATATACATATATACACACACATTTGCTGCACAACTTCTCTGTGAGATAAAATTAAGTCCTGGGTTTTTAGGGGGATTTTTTTTAGTGCCCTCATTAAAGGAGGACACAGCTGGTATTAGGTTTCATTAACATTTTAATTCAATCATTGAATCGCTATCAACAGTTTCTAACTGAAATTAATAAAGGGTAACATGCATTTGGCCACATTCACAGTCGAAAAGACTTGGAGGAGCGTATTGACTAGTTAGATGGCCAGTGACTCAGATTCTGCCCTCAAGTATCTGACCCAAACCTGACCTTGAAGGGGCTCGTGTGAAGAAGGAAGAAACTCTCCCGACAGGAAGACATGAGAGAGGAGCTTTGGAGAGAAGAAGCAGGAGAGAGAGAGAGAAACTATGCAGAGAGGTCCTGAGAGTCAGACTGGCAGGGGTTGAGTCAGTCCTAGCATTGAAATGATTCTGCTGCCAGGTCAGTGAGGATGGTCTGAGCATAGTCTACCAACTGGGTGAGATGAGAGAGAGGGCAGAGAGGGTGAAAACTTTCCCCGCTCCACTTCCCTCTTCCCACCTGGGATCCTCTGGTATTTATTGTTATTTGCTCACTTTAACTTCCTGCCTCCACCTGACTCTGTCAGGTTATTTGAGAAGCAGTTGAGGTGGGAGTAACGGAGGAATCTGAAAGCTTCAGTCTTTTCCTAAATGTTCTTTATTTTTATGTCGTTAAAGCATGTAAAAACCTCTTGTCCAACAAAATCTTAAACTGTTTGTGATATGTTAGTTAAGATAACTAATTTACAGATAAATAGATAATATGAGGGAAGAGCAATTATTCTGAGGGTAAGAGACATTTGTTCGGCAGAGCTGGATTGTGGGGGGTGGGGCCTGAGAGAAGCAGAATGGAGGGACTGGTGCTGGACTATTATAAACTCAAAGAAATATCTGGAATCAAATACAGACATATATTCCTAGACCAGTTTTCTGTCCCTTTTGTCAAAGAAATCATAAGCTCAGAAAGTCCTCTGACTGATAGTAAACAGCTACCTTTAGTCTCAGAGGCTTTGGTGAATTGTCATTTTTGTAGGCTCTCAGGGTGCTTCAAAATAAACTAACCTCTTTAAGTGTGGGTGGGTGAGTGAGTGGGGTGGACTGGTACTGAGGCTGTTGAGCATGCCTAATGGCCTAGCAGAGAGGGCTTTAACTGGACATACACAGCAGGCAAATGTATGCTACCCCAGAAAGCTGACAAAGCTTTCAGTACCTAAACTTGTTCATATGCTTTTCCCTGCCAAGTGGTGAGAAAAGAACAGTTCATCCATAACAATATTCATCTGTTTCTACACTGGATATAATGTGCATCCTTATAAGTAGATTGTACTATCTGCTCTGACTTTTCATATTCAATGATTCTATGTTGTTTTTTTTTAATCCTAAGAATATATGACATATGTAATGTGAAACAACTAGGTATTTCTCTTCCTCAAAAGTTTGTTAGGTTGAATTGACATTTAATTAAAATAATTCATTTTGCAAAGATTGAGTGATTAATTAATTACTGAGATGATTAATATGAAGCACAAATGCTGGGGATATACTACTGGAATGTAAACTCAGTGATAACAGGGACCCATCTAAACTTTATCACTCCCTCTGACCTTGGAAAAAATACCTTGAACTCTCTTGCTCTCAGTTTCCTCCTCTCTCAAAAGATATGTTGAACTAGAATGATCGATAACATCCTTTCTAGCTTTAAGTTCTATGATTCCTTGTATACTTAAGTTTAATTTAAAAAAAAATATATATATATATATAGTATTTATTGTTCCTGGCCTCAAAGACTTTACAGTTAAAAGAGAATGTATATGAAAGCATTTTTAAATTATAAAGTGTTATTGTTATTATCATAATCACAATGAGCCCAAGGAGGAACAACAAAAATTTTTATGGCTTTAAGAAAAATAGCACAATTGCATGAGATTAGGTCTTCTTTTTCTTTCTT